ATATATATATATATATAACACTATATAATCAAAAAATTTTTTATGATAACTATCCTAGTAAATAAACTATCAGCAATACAAATTGGTATCAATTGTATTTGTATTAAGTGTGTTTTGTTGATAGGACTTTATGTAATTTGACATAATCAACAGAGTGACAGCAGAAACTGAGCGAACCTATTGAATCCAGAAATTGTATGAAATCTATAGCCCTTCTTAAATTCAGTCGTAGTTCAAATTTTACAGAAAATGTAGCACTTTACAAAATCTGTTTTCGACAGATTCGATTGTATAGATATAATTTCTTTTACGAGGGGATTATTAATCATTACTTACCATGGCTGGAAAAAACCAGAAGAATAGATTAGAATTGAACGTTTTATTAACTGTGAGATAACCCGAGTAACTGCTAATATCGCCCATCTCTTTGTGTTGGACGAGAGCCTTTGCTCGCGCCTCCTCAATTTTTCCATTTTCTATTAAAGGCGTCAGGAAAAGCGGCGCACCAACATCCTCCTCATCGGTGAGTTGAAACTGCTTCAATTTGGGATATACATTCAAATATCCACTTATACTTTCGTGCGGTAATATGAGCAATAATGTGCTCAAAGTTAGCATAAGAACGCTGTACATATTGTTAGTTCAATGTTACAATCGATACTGCCTGATATTGCCTTACTATACTGGATACTGAATTAACTGAACTCAATAAATGTATCTAATTGTAGCTTGTCATGTTAATTATTGCTGTACCGATACAATTACTTTGTTTTTATCAATGACGTGACAAATATACAATAGGTTATAACACGTGACCATGTTATTATGGAGTGCGTTCCAAAACTTAACTCTGTCAACCCAATATCATTTTATCTTTGTTCACGAATGCTAAACAAGGATAAAGGATAATTAACAGAGTTGAATTTTAGAACGTATTCAAACACCTTTAAAAGTATCTTTGCATGGGACTTGGGAGCATTGAACCGAAGTTATAACATCGATGTTATGAAACTGGCCAATCACACTTACTCCCTTCTTTAGAAGAATAGCTACGATTGGCTAGATTCATAACATCGATAACTCAGTATAAATCGGGCCGTCATACAGAATGCACCTGTAATACATTTTGTACTGATTATATAGGTAAATAGTATTATTCAGACTTAAGTATTATTTAATTGTAAGAGATTCGTTGCTTCATATAAATGATTTAAATGACAATGGTCGAAATGAGATAGCAAAATAATATAACATAAGGCTAACTATAAGCCTGTTCTTTTTAATTAAACTTTTGCACTAGTTCAGTTTTTTCCTTTCCTCTTCAGGAGAAAGATGAACTGATGCAAAAGTAAAGAACAGGCCTACAGTTTTGTACACAAGTGATGATGTTTTATACAGCAAAAGAGAAACAACGTTTTTAACTAATCAATATAATGTTTTATTGGAAATAATACTATGTATATAGAAGATGATTGGGTGATTCGCTTGTTACTTATATGCAGATCACACGTCACTAGTGACCAGAGTGTAAAACTGTAGCGCGGCATTTGCCGCTTGTTATACTATCAGCTGATCAACTTAACTATACCAAGGCAATTGAAAGCGATACATTCCCTTCGCATTTGAATCTGTTT